AAAGGTACAAGATCCCAATGATGAATGTAACTGTACTGTATACCTAAAATGTACCAATAAACTCAATAAGGAAAAAAAAAAAAAGAATTCCTCATGAACCAAGTTGAAGCCAAATGAATGTAACTGTACTGTAAACCTAAAATGTACCAATAAACTCAATAAGGAAAAAAAAAAAAAGAATTCCTCATGAACCAAGTTGAAGCCTCAGAACTGTACTGAGGTCCAAAACTTCCTACCAGCCCATTTCTTTCTCTCCCTTCACAGGTGCCAGACTTAATGTGGCTTCCTGAAAATTTTCTCTACCCATTCCTATGCCTTCCTCCTTTTACTCTTACAGGAGTTTCTGTAAATAAATCAATCTACTGCCTTCTCTCTTAATTTTGTAGGGCTTTGATAACAAAATATCATAGACTAAGGGCTTTGCAGAAACTGATTTCTTTACAGTTGTGGAGATGAGAAACTGCAGACCAAGCTGTTTGTTTGTTTGGTTTCTCTTGAGACCACTCCGCTTGGTCCATCCTGTCTCCCTACCATGTCATTCCTCTGTGTGCAAGTCCTCCTGATATTTCTTCCTCTGAAGACATTGGTTATGTTGGATTAGGGATCCATCCTTATAAACTCATTTAACCCATTTAACCTCTATTAGCTCATCAAAAGCTCTATTTGCAAACACTCGCTTTAAATTTTAGAGATTTCACAAATGAATTTGAGGTTGACTCAATGAGTTTAGCATGTACCACCTGACTAATGCCCTCTTAGCATCTGCTTCTTGAAAATTCCAAACTAATCCACTGAACAAAGAGAAAATGGCAAATAGTACATTCTGCATCAGTAATGGTGGTCATAAAAGAGTTTATGAGGTTACTTCTAAGTGATATTAACTGGTCCCACTCATTAGGTTTTTATTTAAAATCCAAACCAACAGAATATTTTTAATAATTGAACACTAACAATAAAAATTTCTCTGGAATCTGTCATGTACATGACCAATAGGTACTAAGGTTAACACTGATTAATATCTATTGTTATGAGTTGGACTATGAATCTCTCCCCAAGGACATGTGACACACTCCCCACCATGATGTTCTACCTTGTTTCAGGCCCAAAGCAATGGAGTCAACTGACCATGGACTGCAATATCTGAAACTATGACTCAAAATAAATCTTTCCTCCCTATAAGCTGTGTATATCATCAGATATTGGGTCACAATAACTAAAAGCTGATTGGCACATCTCTGAATATGTAATTTTAGAGGAATCATTGAAGACACTTTTTGCCTTCTAGGCTTCCTTTTTTCTTGATTAAAAAAAAATTTTTAGTCACGTGCACATTTCTGCTTTGTTCAACCAGGGGCCCAAGTGTCTATAACTATGTAGTATGTGGTATTTTGTATATGATCCTCAAGTAATTGTTGAATAAATTATCATTACCTTCCCAATACTTCCATAGTTATTGCTCTTTAAGGTGATTTTGTTCTTTGTATTAGAGCTGAGGTGGAGAATTGTGATGATTATGAAGCTAATAAGAGATTTAAATCTAATAATTTAAGTGATCTTTCTTCATTTCACATCTTAGAAAGTCTAGCCTCAGGGACAGAAATTAATGATGTGTTCTCACAAGTCTTCACACATGGTGCTGTTGCATAGTCCCTAAAATCACTCCAGGAAGAGTCCACATAATTACAGGCCATTAAAACTCAATGTTCATTCCTAGACAGCAAGAAAGGAAAGGGAGGAGGAAGACAGAATAGAATGCCATGCTCGGTCCACAGAGCTTTTATGAATGGGCCAATGAATGAAAAAGTGCAAGTGCTTAAAAGCTGCAGATCCTTAATCTCTTTAAACATTTCTAGAGAGTATTTAAACATTAGAGTTTGGATACCAGATAATGTAAGAGGAACTTGAATTGCCCTGGCATGAGAGAAAAACTTGCATGAAATCTGATATTTCAAGTTGGGTATACATTTGCCAAAGGCTTCCAAGATCACCAAATTGTGATCTCTGGGCAGATTTTTTAAAAATCGGTGCTTTCAAGATGAAACAAAAAGAATCAAACTTCTATAATAATTAGTCCATATTTTTCAGCAATATTAAAGTCAACAAGGGGCTTGAACTTGAGACAATGCCTTTTAAAGAGAATGAGCATTTATTTAGGGAAGTAGCTATGGCATCATTTTAATGGTTGATTTTACTGAAGGTGCAGTGTCAGCAAGATCCTTTCAAGTACTTTTTTCTCCTTGCTTTCTCTCTTTCCTCTCCCTTATTTTTTCTTTTGTATTTTATTGTTTCAAGGAATTTGTTTTTCCATGTTTCTTCAATCTTTTTCATATTTTCTTTTCCATTTTTTTCTGTCCTCCTGATTTTGTATACACACACACACACACACACACACACACACACACACAATCTCTTTGTCCTTCTCTAATCTATCTCTATGTTTCACTCCTTTTTTTCCCCTTCCTGTCTAATCTGTACATAAATGTGCTGAGGGAAGGCACAGAATAAGAAAGGTTGTATCTGTAGTTTGTAACTTTGATTTTCCAGAAGAATCTTCCATTTGTAGTTCATTTCTCCCCTTCCAGAATTCAATGCAAATATTTAATTCTCGCGTTTACCCTTACAAAACTCAGGCTTCTATTTATATTAGTCATCTATGTGTCTGCTGTCTCTTAAATTGTGAATACGCAGACAGCAGGATTAGGACATTTTTTCACTGTTTTCCCAAGGATAGTATCTAGGTCAGAATACTAATTATATGAGTCAAAGTCGGAGTTGACATTTGCATAATTCAACTAGATAATATCACATTTATCTTCAAAACCATCAGTGTGATAATATTATCAATGGAGAGTCAATGACAGACAATTACATGAAGAGTTGGAGAAGAAATTAGTACTACCCAATAAATTCTTAGTTGTATTGGATTGTTTACTCCAACAATGTCATTTACTAAATAAATACTGGATAACTGGTAAGAATATAGAAACAGTGTTAAATTTCAAATTTAGACACAGGTTCTTGAGCTGGTGGTCCTGGCTTTCAATCCTAGCTATGCAATTTGCTCTCTACAACTACAAAGCAGGCAAGACCATGCCTGTTATTTCCCGGCAGCCGCTCTGCATGCTGAGTTGGCTCAGGGAGGTACTGATACTACTTGAAGGCTCCCACCTCAGCCTAGAAGGCTTCCCCCTCAGCCCCAGTTCTTTGTATGGCCTTATGTAAATTAAATGTTTTATATTTAATATGTACAACTCCAAATAACAATGCTGGGCTCTTCCTATGTTAGGTAAACATTGGTTCAATTTCCCATCTCACCCAAGCCAGAGATTCAGATTTCAGATTCCAAAGTTTGAAACTTTAGCAGGATTACAGATTTTATTATACTATTTCTTTTCTTTGGAAGTAGGATTATCTTTGAAGAGGGCTTGCCCTAGCTAGCAGATCAGCAGACAAAAATGTGTCAGTTCCTGGAATACTACTCTTATCTACAAGGAGGTAGGCCAGCTGCTATTCCAGAAGTCCAAAGCAGGGAACACTTCATCAGGGAAAGTTATTTCTTTTTCTGCTCTTTTTCCCCCTCTTTGCATATGTCCCTTTAGTTTTTATCCTTTTCTGCTTTTTTTGCACTAATATAATTACCAATGGTCACTTGCTGGTATTCATCACTCATAGTACATGTTAGTGATTGAGAGAAAGTCAATACAGTAAGGTGATCCAGCATAACTTCTGATTTTCTTCCTTTTCTAACCTCCACTCTACAACCAATCATAACTACTCATCCAGTATTTGAGTGTTACCTGTTTTCAACTGAAGAACTCTGTTACCCTGTTAGATTATATATTCGTTAGAATAAAGATGTTATTCCTGCAGGGACAAGGGGGAAAAATGAGAACTAAGACCTGTCACGTAAAGGTACAAGATCCCAGTAATGAATGTAACTGCACTGTATACCTAGAATGTACCAATAAACTCAATAAAAAGAAAAAAAAAGATATTATTCCTATAAAGATGGTATTCACACACATTGCTAAAATATACATCAATTTATTATATTTATGTGATTTAAAGTATCTGTAGTGAAAAAAAGTTTATTTTCTAAAAAGTCAGTGAAACATCCGATACACACCTGATATGAATGGTTGGCTCAGGAGTGAAAAAAAATGCCATTTCAAGTGCATTCTCAACAAATATGTTGCAATCTTGCCTCCTTACTTCTTTAAGTACAAAGCATAGTATTTACTATTCCTCTCTGCAGTTCTCTTTCTGTTAAAAACCTGTTCTAGCTCTCATAGATTCTTTTGTTCCTCAGCAAATTATAGTCAAGTGATTTATTATATTAATTGAAATCTAGATTGAAGGAAAACTGTAAACCACATTTCTTTATTCTCCTTTCCACCATTAAATACTACTGCCTTTTCTCATCCAGAGCTTATAAGATCTCTACAGCCAAATTTATGGAATGTATTCAATCCAAATTTCCACACCCATTCCAAAATAATGAAATGTATCATCCTCATTGCATCTAGTTCCCAAGAAGAAAGATTCATGTGCTGCTCTCAAAGAAACTTGTCCCTTAATTTTCTAATTCAATGAAGGTACTGGTTGAAATGTGAAGCCATGTAAGAGAAAGACAAAGACTAAGTTGATCCTCCTGACAAATTATTTTGGAATAAAGCTTTAAGACCTTCCATTCCATTCACATTCAGTAATCCACCATTTCTTCTGCCTTCATCACAAAAGAGTAGCATCAACAAAATAAAAGTATCTGCCTATGATCCATAATATTTAATCGCATGACCTTTTGTTCATTTTTACTGATTTGCCTTCTTAGAAATATAGATATTTAAAATACTATTCCAATGATGATGAAATTAAAATTTGCATTTTCAAACAAAAACTAAAGCAATGTGATTTTGTAGTAAAAAATTACAATAAAATTGTTTCCTTATTTAATTTCCAGACAGCAACAAAAGAAATTTTTAAATATTATAGCAGAATTCTTTTTCTTGATAAGAGCTTTTAAAATTTCAAGAAGCTCAATGTACCACAAAATAATCAAAGACTTCACTTCATAGACAAAACCTTCCAGCTGTTACAGAAACATAGGTAAACACAGGTGAAAAAATATTATCAGCAAATAAAAGGATGCCTTAAGAACTTTCTGTGTTATTCCAAACAGATGGACATGAGTGAGCTCTAATATCATTATGTTTTGAAATGGCTTCATCCAGATCCAACTGTACACCATTGACATTCACTTCCATGCAGCCACTATAAAAGGCATTCACTGGTGTGACACTGAATGGAATATCTGTAAAAAGAATATTTTACTATTAGTCCAAGACTTTCAGTATCTTATTTGCTTAAAGTTAGATTAATTGTTCAGACTTTCCATTTGCAACCAAATTGTAACATTAAAAGAGATGTTAACAGTGCAATTCTACCCAATAAATATATAGTAACATGCACACACACGCATATAACACACAAGTATGTATCAATCCATATATAGTTTACCATATATAGTACTATGTTTGGCATGGCACTCAGCATCTTTGGGAGTTCTTCTGATTTTATAAATGCAATCAGTTCTAATCAAACTGAAGATAAATAAACACCCTTACAGAAGAGCATAAAAGAACATATTCCAACTCATGATATTCTGTATTTATTTTTAAAAGATATATGTTATTTTTTTTTTAAGTTTGAGCAATGCTTTAAGCATTGTTAAATCACTTTTTTCAACTCCTAATCACAGTTACTTGGAAATGTTTTTTAAGTGCCATGATAAATATATCTTCTTATTGCTAAAATAAAAGCAGATTTTCATATTTTCCAAGAAATAGTTTCTTGTTGAGAAGACAACAACAGCAAGCCATAGCAGAGGATTCACTTTTATGGAATAATAATACTGTACTAATAATGACAATTTTAAAAACTACTTAGTGAACAGGGTAATTTTAGGGTGTTGAGCCTCTCTTTATAAAACTTAATACTCAGGTCATAAACCTTGGATTCCTTAGAACTATGGTTAATTTTTTTTTAGAATTCCCATCTCTCTACTTGTTTCCTCTTTTTTTAGGCATCTCCTCTTTATAAACATTCACAATGTATAGTCACTAGTTTTCTTTGTTAGTACCTTATGCTAAAAATAAATACTTCAATTTTCCTTCTTTAAACTTGCCAATGTAGTCCATACTTTTCTATAAGTTTATAGCATATTTTAAAAGTCCTTTTCAAGTTCAGCTAAACATTATCCATTATGCTATTATTTTTAGAAAATATTTTTATCCCTGGAATATGTAATTATATAATTATTAACATCACCTTAAACTATAAGTATTTTTAATAATCTTCAGAATTTATGTCATATTTTACTTCTTAACTTGTGACTTATCATGCCTGTTTTGTCTATCGATAGTTTTCCCATCTCATAATTTATAGGTTTATCTTAACTTTTTTTCATTCTTTCAACACTTCTACCTTGAATTCAGTCTTTAGTGTTATTGCAAGGTCTTGGAATCTCTGAAAGTTTGGTAGTTTTACATCATTTAAACTCCTTCATTGCTTTTTTGATTTATTAAAATTGCATTCCACTAATTTGTGAATAAGGTAGTAGGTTTCAGTACAGAATTCATTCACTTTAATTGAAATTATAATAATTCACCATGCTTTACCTAAATTACTTGAACTCTATCTTGTTTCTCTATCTATCTGTCTATCTGGAACTTTTGGAGTTTATTTACTTCTGATCCCACCAAACCCTGATTAAATCACATATGTGGAAAACTGATAACATGAGAACTGAAAGCAATATAATGAAGATTACCAGAAGTCTAGAGGGTGACTAATCAAAATTCTGTCCTTGAGAATAATCTGCAAATAGTACTAGAAAATGTTTCTAAATAACTTCCTGTCTCTTTTTTGCCATTGAAAGTAAAATGGTGGCAGAATTTAACACTTTCCAATGTTAAGTTAAAAATGAACCTGCTTTTCCTCTAGTTTTCCTCATTTTGATAAGGGGGAATCCCTACAATACAATTTCTTATGCAAGATACCTAAGAGTTATCATTATACTTGTATTTAAATCACTCAATCCCTTTATTTTCTCACTTATATTTCTAATCTACTCAGTGTGTCGTGTCTCCAGTGCCCTCACCCTAATCCAGCAGCTTCCAGTTTCCTCATCTATAAAATGGGAACACGTCCCCATTTTATAGTACTTTCCTTACTGCTTTGAAAATTAAATTAGTTGATACATTTGAAGAACTTAGTATAGTATTCAGACTCTTCATTATGCACTAGTTGATGATAGTGTGATTATTGCTGAACATGATTATTCACCAGCCTCGCATCTCAATTTGTATCCACTTTTTTGCCAATTTTTAAAATTGTGATATTGAAATGTAACTTTCTTGCCTAAAACACTTTAAACAATTCATGTATCTTTCATAATATGACCTTGAACCGGATCTCCAAGCCCTCCACCCACCATCAGATTCCCACCCTCAACCTGCAGCACCATATCACTTGCTCAACATGCTTTACACATATAGACCTTTTACGCATATCTCAAACATGTCACCCCTTCCCAGTTTGTCTACAGGAACATTTTACCATATACACTCATCCCTGCTACTATCACCTGGCCAAATTCATTTTCTCCATCAGATATCAGATTTATATCTTAGTGTCTTATTAAGGCAATTATTCCTGGCCTCCACAACTGAATCAAGTGCACATTTCAAGCTCTAAAATAAATCCACACTTTTCCTTCACAGAAATAATCAGAATTTTAGTTATTTTGGTATTTCCTAAACAGTTGTTTTATGACTGCTATTGCCACTAGATTAAAAGAGCCTTAACAGCAGGAATCATATCTATTTGCTTATTACTTTATCCCTAGTACCTAGGTTATAAATGCTTAATAAATACTAAATAAATGATAAATTATTTAATGAATGAGTAAATAAATATTTGATAATGAATAAGTTCAAGAATAAATATTGAATTTATAAGACTATTGTGAAGATGACATGAAATGAAATCCCCTCTGGCTGTCATAGACAAATACAGCAAAAGTTGATTAGTTTCCATTCACCATTAAAAAAAGAAGAAGAAAACCAAAATGTAACAATAAAATGTCTGTTCAAGCATTTAGAAAATGAACAATAGACCCTGGAATTCTGTCCTAATTCTCATACCTTTTCATTAAAATTCTATATTTTTAATATCATAGACTTGATTAAAATACACTTTTTATATTGAAGAAAAAGTGCTTACCTGGAATACCACCTAGGTAAGTGGCAACTGTTCCTTTCATTGCTTCATCCAAGATGACAAGCTGCCTTTGAAGGTCTTCTGAGTAGATGATATCTTTTTTAAGTGGAGTCCACAGCTCCAGATTATTTCTGTTGACTCCGACTACCAGTTGGGATTGTTGACTGGAACACAGACTTACAGCCTTGATTCGACTTACTACTGTATTTTCAACAGATACTAGAATGTCCTAAAGAGCAGGGCAGAGACCCAATATAAGCAAGTAATAATAGTAATGCTACCTCTGTGACTTCTGAGCTTTGAAATTCAAAAACTGAATTTAAATGAGTAAAGCACAATGTATGACAGAGCCTCTAACTATAAATAAAAACTGTAATACTATATTAATCATAATCAAGATTTAATTCCTTCAACTATGTGAATGTAATGTGAAAATAGGAATTCCATCTGTTTAAAAAAAAAAAAAATAGGCAAGCAAAAAAACAAAAACAAAGCCCTGAAATCCAAATGAAGTAAGATCTGAGTAGAGTGGAGGTTAACAAAAAGTACAACAACAAAACAGAAGAAACTCTTCAAATTGCTCAGGTGTAAAAACCAGATCATCCAAACAATCATTTAAATTGCAAACAGGACACCCTTTTTTATTACTGTAGGCATTATTCAATTATATGTCTTTTTCTAACAGCAGCTTAGAGCTTCCAAGAAAACCTGGGCATAAACATAAGCAGCCTGCTGATACTTGTTGGAATCCACTGTGGATGACAGCAGAACTATTAGCCTCTAATAGAAGGCTGAATAACATGGATCTTCTGATAACTTTCATGTTTCCTGTATGCAAGACTTCCCTGTTTTTCCTCCTAATTTCTAATGGGTTGCCAGCTAGAATTCAAGTAGACCAATTTTAGTCTTCTCTCTCCTAATGTACTCATGTGAAAAAAGATTAAGAGTGAGAGAAAGCAAAAAACCACTATAATTAAACACCAAATACCTGAGAGTGGATTATCAGACTCGCTTCTATTTTGTTAGAACAGAATAACTCCTACAATGTTATAAGAATTTTGAATAAAAGTGGATTTCTACATACTCTGTAAATTTGCCAAATCTTAGCTTTAGATGCACTAGGTTTTTGAGTTTCTATTTGCCTTACTTCTTCTTTCAGACCTTGAGTATAGATAATAATATAAGAGTACCAAGGGGCCTATGTTAATGTTAAATATTATGCCTAATACTTTGCAGAGTTGGCCATTCAATCTTCAAAATATTTCTGCAGGATAAATATAATACCTACTGTAAAACACATGCATATACATAGCACATATTGTTTACAGATTTAGAGTAAATTTACCTGATAATTTGTAGAAGTGGAGTCTACCAATGACAAAGCAAAAGGCACTGTGTTACCTGAAACTAAGGCAAACATAATACCTGTGCCTGCAGATGGGCGAATAATCAAGGTCACATTGACTTGCCAACCCTCAGCATAAGTTTTGTTATCTGTTTAAAACAATGAAACACAAGTACAATCAATAGACTTCTAAAATGAACCAAAAAACTCAATTACAACTTGATTAATATCCAGAAAAACATGGTATAATACTATAGACTTTTTTTCAAATGCAAACAAGAAACACAAATGGAACCACATGCATCTGTTCTTCCTCAAAGAGAATTCTCGATTGTAGTGTCAAGTATTATGAATTTTTCCCATTTACTCTTTGATGGATTTACTTTCCCTGGCATATTTCAATGTTACATTTCCTTGTAATGTTCAAATCTCAGAGTGAACATATTTGAAAGTACACAGTTAGAAGAAAGGCTAACAAGTTTATTGTTATATTGGAGAGAAATTTTGAATAACTCTGCATTGCCACCCCATCATTCCTCATTCTAGAGTAGTTAGTAAATAAAATACTTTCTACTTACATTGGCGGGGGGTTGTCAGTACAGAAATACTGTCAAACAGATCCAGAGTCCCACCATATCATCCATAAGTGCATGCAGATGCCAGGGAGCAGCTGAGTGGATGAGTGTGGCTTAGCTGCAGGCAGATCCCAGCCAGGGCCCCACCCCAACCCCAGAGGCATGGGTTCATCTGCCCAAGCCACAGGCCTGCCTAGAAAAGAGCTACACAGTGGCACAAGCTTCATAGAGAAGCCCATCATACAATCAGTAAGTGTGCAGAGATGCCAGAGAGCCATTGTGTGGACCAGAATGGTGGGGTGGCAGGCATATCCCAATCAGGGTCCCACCCCAACACCAGAGTTGGGAGGAACAACTGCCAAAGCCACAGGCACCCCCTAGAAAAGAGCTGCATAGGTGCACAAGCTTCAGCCAGAGACCAGCCACACTATAGGCTACAGCCAAGGGCCAATCCAGTAAAGAACTACACATTTTCACAAGCAACAGTCAGAGGTTCAATCTAATACCATTGATAAGTATGTGGAGACCCTAGCCAGAAGCCTGTACAGACTACAGGAACTGGAGTACACAGCCCCCAGCTAAAGGACCTCCCAGATAACTGCTACATATGGCACCCAGCAAGAAGCACACCTAGATATCATCCCACGTGTGCACAGGCCCCAGCCAGAAGCCTGCTCAGACAACAGGTCAGCTCAGGAATCTAGAAGTCCACCATTCTAAACCCAGGCATTGTTACACTGGTAAGCAGCACCATAAAGGCTGCTCAGTGGCTTGCTGAGAATTGAAGACCACTGGGTAAGCAAAACGTTGCCTCAACAAAGGCATAGCAGTCTTCATCTGTTGAAATGAGAAGACATGGAAATAAGTCTCAAAATCACACTTCCAGATCACCTAAGGAAACCCTAAAGGGCAATGAGATGGAAGAATCTGATAATCAACCACCTGGGCTCCCTGAACTGGCAATAAAAGAGTACTTGGAAAAAATGAAATCAGAAATAATTTCTCAGATAACACCAGAGATTGTTCCCACAGTACATGACATGGTAAATAAGTCCAGAGTGGACACAGACAAAACAAAAATAGAGGAACTGAAAAACATGATGGAATCCCAACATAAGAAACAAACAGAATCCATAAAACAGATGCAAACAGATTTCCAGGAGATTGAAAACTCCATTGAAAGTTCATGCAATAGAACAAGCCAATATGAGGACAGAATTTCAGATATATTAGATAGAATTGAAATTTGTGACCAAGAAAAGAAAAATCTCTTAAAAATAGTTAGGGGCCATGAGAGATTCCAGCAGCTGCTAGACAATTCAAAGAAGAATAACATAAAACTGATGGGAGAAACAGAAAAGAGTGCTGATGACATAAAAAAAAAACAAACAAACAAACAAAAAAAAACAACTGTTCAAAGAAGTAATGGCAGAAAACTTCCCAAATAGGAGAAAAGAGCTTGACATACAGATGAGTGAGGCTTATAGGATTCCAAATAGCTGTGATCGAAACAATCTAAACATAGCACACAATAGTTAAGATTCCAGAAAACCCAACAGAAGAACAAAATTTTACAAGCAGAGAAAAGAAATGATTTATATTCAAAGGAAAGCCTATTGAAATCACAGCAGAATTCTCAGCACAAACCCACAAGGCAAGTAGAGGTGGAGTGACATATTTCAAGCCCCAAAGGAAAACAACCTTGAACCCAGATAGATGTACCCTGGAAAACTATCTTTCAAAATTGATGGAGAAATAAAGATACTTTCATGACAAAGAGCAACTTAGGAACTTCAGGAATACCAAACCAGCATTCCAAAAAACTTTAAATAATATCCTAGGAAAAGACCAGAAGGATCACAAACCCAGGAAGCCCACAACAATGAATCCATCAGGCATGACAAAAAATTAAATGCAAAGGGGGAGAAACTAACAAAAAGAAAAAGTTGTGACAAGGATAAGTCAAGACATATGAGTTATCACCATCAATGTTAATGGTCTCATTTTACCAATTAAAAGAAGTAGATTGGGGCCAGAGATTTAGCTCAGCGGTTTGGTGGCCTGCCTTGCAAGCTCAAGGACCCAAGTTCAATCCCCGGTACCAAAAAAAAAAAAAGAAAGAAATAGATTGGCAGAATGGATCAAGAGGCAAGATCCAACAAAATGCTGCATACAAGAAACACGATGCAAAAAGAAACTCATGAGCTGAAATTTGAAGAGTGGAAACTATACTCCATGCAGCAGGAACTACCCCCAAAAAAGCAGTAGTAGCTATCCTCTTTGCAGATCGAGTGGCTTTCAAGCCAACATTGATTAAGAGAGACAAAGGACACTATATCCTTGTAAAGGGAACAATCCAAGAGGATGAGATGGCAATCATAAATATGTGTGCACAAAACGCTAGTGTTCCCAACTATATAAAGCAAATACTAATGGGTATGTAAAAATCATATTAATACAATAGTAATGGGGGACCTCAATACCCCATGGTCACAAATGGATAGCTCAATCAGACAAAAAATAAATGATGAAATATTACAACTGAATCAAACTCTTCAACAAATGAATTTAACAGATGTTTACAGAGTGTTCCACCCCACAAAATCAGAATACACATTCTTTTCAGCTGCATAGTGGTCATTCTGGCTCATAGAACATGACTAAGTAAGTGCAAAGGAGTTGGAGTGATCTCCTGTATATTATCAGAAGGTAGTGTGATGAAATTGGAGTTCAATAGCAAAAGGAACCTCAAGAATTTCATAAACACATGAAAACTGAAGAACACACTTTTGAAAAACCAGTGGGTCACAGAATTAAAGAAGAAATCAGACAATTCCTACAATTAAATAACAATGACAACACAATATCAGAATCTATGGGATGCAATGAAAGCAGTATTACAAGGGAAATACAAGCAGTGAATAGTCATATTAGGAAAACAGAGTGAGCACAATTAAACAACCTGACACTGAACCTTAAGCTTCTAGAAAAAAAAGAGCAAGTCAGGGCCAGGGATTTAGCTCAGTAGTTCCACCGCCTGCCCTGGTATCAAAAAAAAAAAAAAAAAAAAAAAAGAAGAGCAAGACAAACACAAAGCTCATACAAGGGAAGAAATTATAAAGAGCAGAAATCAATGCAATGGAGACTAAGAATGATATAAAATTTGTTAACAGTGAATTATTAGGAATATTGGGAAAATTTTAGGAATATTTGTGAATACTAGGAAAACAAAGCAAGCTCAATTATACAACCTGGTGCTGATCCTCAAGCTTGTAGAAAAAGAAGAGCAGGGCGAACCTAAAACTCATACAAGGGAGAAAATTATAAAGATCAGAACAGAAATCAATACAATGGAGTCTAAAAGAACACTACATATCAATGAAGCCAAGAGTTGGTTCTTTGAACAAATAAACAAAATTGACAAAACCTTGGTCAACCTTATCAAAAAAAAGGAAAGAAAAGGCCCAAATCCATGCAATTAGAAATGAAAAGAGTGAAATTACAATGGTCCCAGCAGAAATACAGAGTATCACCAATATCTACTTTGAGAAGCTATATGCCAATAAGATGGAAAATATGGAAGAAATGGACAGATTCCTAGACACATATGAATTACCAAAGTTGAACAAAGGTTACCTAAAAATTCTAAGTGACCAATATCAACCAGTGAAATTAAAAATGTGATTAAAGACTTACCAACTAAGAAAAGCCAGGGTCCTGATGGCTTCACTGCTGAATTCTATAATACATTTAGAGAGGAACTACTGCAACTACTTTTTAAACTCTACAATGAAAATGAAATGGAAGCAATACTCCTGAATTCATTCCTGGGAGCAAGCATCACCTTGATCCCCAAAGCAGAAAAAGACCCAAATGAAAAAGAAAACTACAGGCCAATCTCACTAATGAACATAGATGCAAGAATTTATAGCTAAATGGATACACATTGAGGCTATACTCTTAAGTGAAATAAATAGGTTACATGTGTGTAAATAGTGAATAGTTTCTCTAGTGTGAGAAACTGAAAGTGTAAATAAGGACTAAAAGGTATAGTAGATAATGTGAAATAGGAAGAACAGGTGCAAAGGGGAAGGGGAAGTGAGAGGGTAGGGGAATAGAAAGATCGGAATGCAATTAATATTAAAGAAAGAAAAAAGAGAAACAAAGTCTTTGCAGATAGTGAGGGATGGAGGGGTTGAAAGGAGGGCAGGGGAGTGGGGAAAAAATAAAAACCAAGATGGATAATGCAAAGGTTCAAAGTTCCAATGATGAATGTCATTATATTGTATACCTTAAATGTACCAATAAAATTAATTTTAAAAAAAGAAATTGTTAAACAATTACTTTTAAAGGTAGAATGGATACTTTCATCTTGTGACTCTATTATAAAACTTGACATTTTTTTCTCAATTACTAGATTAGTTTTCTACCAGAATTGAGTGTAAGTTAAAAGAGGTACTTGTTTCTATCATTAATTTGTCTCCATAAGAGACACCCAATAAATATTTGTTGAACTAATATCTTTAGCAAGTATAATCATGTACCACATAATAACAGTTCAGTCAATAAAAAATTTAGTCATATAAATGAGTCATGTAAGATTATATAACCTAGTGACATTAATAACAGGCTTGGTTTAAGTATCCTCTGATACTTATATAATGAAAAAAATCACATAATAACATGTTTTTCAAAATGTATCCCCACTATTACGCTCTAGAAATAGCTATCTCAACCAATATTATAGTATTATAAGAGTATTATAGTATATAATAGTATTATAATATATAGTATTATAGTTAGATTCCAAAAAATATCAGTTCACAATCTTTTTTTTTCTTCCAGCTTTAATTGAATTTATTGGTACATTTTAGGGATACAGTACAGTTACATTCATTGTTGGGATCATGTACCTCTACATGACAAGTCTTGATTCTCATTTTTTCCCCTTACCCCTGCCCTCCCTTCACCCCCTCCTCCCCTCCCCATCTACAAACACTTTATTTTCATCTTTTCATTATCTTAATGAATTCCTCCTTACTTAATACGAAGTAATGTAAGAAAGCCCCAATACCTGTTGGAACCTCTTTGGAAGGCTGATTATGAAAGGAGAAAATAATTTTCCTTTGACAAGATGTTCTTTCATTTAGCCACCTATAACACAACTATATGTTTCATTATAATCCTATAAGTCCCACCAAGGAGAGAATACATACAATCACCAAGAAATAAATAAATATAACACAAGATATTAACAAAAGGAAATTAAAATAAATATGCAAATATATAGAAGTTATCACATTAAATATAAAGGACACTTTCAAGTTATTGATGAACAAATTTGTTACTTATAGAAATAATTTTTAAGTATAATATAACTATTTTCATTTCTTTTTCAAGAATTTTTTGCCTTTGAAAAAAATCTTCAATGCCTTTTTCCTGTATTTAATCATCAGCCCATTTAAAATATTTTTTAAAATTTTATGTATACAATAGAGCTAATATTAAAGATATTTATTAGTTTGTTAGAAAAACACTAACCACTGGTATAAGATTCCTCCTTAAGATGATAGTAATTACTTTTTTATTTCTTATTAGTTCATATTTGCCATACATAGTGCTCACATTCATCATAGGGAATTTGTATCTGCATATACTATATCTCAATTCTTCTTTATTTTCCCATTCCTTTCCTCTCCCTTTAACCCTTCTTCATTTCCTATTCACAGAAGCTTTGTTTCCATGTTTTTCCATTTTTTTTTTCCATATAGGGGATCAAACTCAGGATCTTACATTTTCCATGCAGACAAGGCACCACTGAGCTAAATCCCTAGCCCATTCATCTTTTGTTTTTTAATCCCTTTCCCTTTCCCATCCTCCCTCCTTGTTCCACTTCCCCTTTGAACATGTTCTTCCTACTTTTCAATAGGAAAAGTATTTTTCAATAACTATTCTCCATTTTTCTCCTTAGTTACCCTTAGGGTTTCTCACCTAGGAGAAACAATGCAATATTTAAACTTGTTTATCTTATTTATTTCATTTAAAATTATGGTCTCGAAGTGTATCTATTTACCTATGAATGACTCAAGTTTAATCTCAATTACTTTTTAAAGCAACAAATAAAAACTTTAGTAAATACTTTTTGCAGCTACAAATAAATACATTCAAATATCATTTTTCCTAAAGCAGAGATATCAGATGTTCACTAACAATTTATAATGTAAAGTGTCAATAGCTCAAATAAGAAATTCACAACAAAGAAAAGGATAAGGAACTCAAAAAGTAATTAAAATGTAGAAACAGCTAAAAATATAATGATAGATACTGAACTTCAGCAGAAATTAAGAAAATAATATTTAAAACTACAAAATATAATTTTTGAACTATTGGACTAGAAATAAATCTGAACCATCTCCTTCTGTTGGTAGAAGCATTAATTAATAACAGATCTTTGGAAGAGAATATAATTTATCTTGAAATAATACAGAAAAAAAGTATACACAAGTCAGGAAAAAAAAACTTGTATAAATATTTTAATACTAAGTTTATTGAGATATCATGACATTAATTCAAGTTACCTTTGGCTTCTACAGTTACAAAAGGTGCTCAGACTGGTGGCCATTAGTTTTCAGACATCTATTAGTATCGTAACTGCTGCTTGGGTAACCTTAGTGAAAGTATCTGTGGAGACTGTTGCACATGCATTTTCAATTTCTTCTGTAAGGGCCAGTGGTATAGTAGGTTTTCTGTGATATACCACATCCTTTAAAGTCCCCTACAGATAAAAGTCTACAGCTGTTAAATCAGGAGAATGTGCACTTTACATAAGTTTTTCTTTTCCTGAAGTGTCTATACAATTTTTTTGGAAGACTCTGTATATATTCCCATAATCTTTGATTGAGATAAGCTATGATTCTTTCCTTCAGAATTAATCACATAAAAAGTATTCTCAATAATGTTTATAAAAGTTTTTTTGTTTGTTTGTTTGTTTGTTTGTTTGTTTTTGGATCCGGGGATTGAACTCAAGACTTTGCTCTTGAGAGGCAGGTGGCAGAATCACTGAGCTAAATCCCTGGCTATAAAGTATTATTTATAAAAGTAAAAGCTGAGATAGCCTAACAGGACTTCCTGCTCCACTTTCTATAATATTCCTGTAGAAAAGTGTAAAGATCATGATTCCAATCTTTACTCAAGAGCCAAATTATCTGCAGGATCTTAATTTTTCTTGAACTGTCAAAGCTGAAGTTTCTGGGCAATCAGGAAACCAGATACCTAAAGAAAGACAAGTGCTTTTAAGGACAGACAGGATAAGAGACAGGATGAAGCAGTCACCAGATGCCATAAAATTTGATAATTAAAAATTACAAGTTGCAGAAGTTCATGTAGTGTCAGGTGGAGACTATAGGAGCCCTAAGAAATGTACATATGAGAGAAACATTTATCTATTCATAAGGCCTTTTCCATGGGCTTTAGTGGATACTCCAGAGAATATCTGAGAGGAGAGGAGAAAGCTAAAGAAAACCTTTCATTAGCACAGTCTTGGGAGCAACACCTCCTCCAGGAAAGGTACAAAATTCCACCCTGACCCTTCTCTGTCTCCTCTAGAGAAGAGTCTTGAAGCACTAGGGGAAAGGGAACAAACTTTGTCATTGGAATACATGTAAAGACCCATAATGCTTATAGATTAAGCGGAAACAACAGGAAAAAAAAAAGTTGTCTATCATGGAGGACTAGGAGGAGGAGGAGGAGGAGGAAGAGGAGGAAAGCATCTTGAGTCTTACATCTCCCCTACCTCTGTAACTGGATTTTCATACCAATGAAAACAAGGAAATGTCCTTACCTCTGAGACCTAGGGTTACAACAACTGCCTAAGACAGGATCTGTATCAGAACTGTACCAGATCTAAAGAGAATGTTTCCTTACCCTCAGGCTCTCTCTAACATGTTAGCAAATGTTAAGTAACAAGAATATTCTGCTGGGGGTGAGGAAGACAATGCTTGTAGAGACAGTTTCTTAAGGTATATCATACAGGAAATACCTAAAACTGAGTTGCTATTAAGAAAAACTTAATAACTGATCAGCAATTTAAAAAATCTCTAGCAAATCAGTTCCTACCCTAACCAGAAACTTACTTGTATTAGCACATTTTCCATAGCTATTAAAAATACTTACCCCGGGGGGTCAAAGGATTTAGCTCAGTGGTTCCACTGCCTGCTTTGCAAGCACAAGGACCTGAGTTCAATCCCAGGTACCAAAAAACAAAATAAAACAACAACAACAAAAATACTTACCGGAGACCAAAAAGAAAACAAAAGTTAATTTGGCCCAAAGTTCTAGAGGCTGAATATCTACACAGCATGAGGTTAGTAGCTCTGGTGAGGATCAAACAGCAGATGCTACTAGAACAGGAACATGCATGAGACAGAAAGATTTCATTGGAGAGAAAGGAAACTAGGGAAACTATTCCTTCATAACTAAATCAGATAAAGCCTCATTTCCTCAGTAGATGGATTAAATCCCCCTCAATCCCTATTCAGAGACCAACAAAAAAAGAAATGTGGTCACTTCCAGATACAAATATATATTTATCTCATTCTCTACTGTTCTGTGTAAAATGCCAACCTCTACATCAAACAAATTATATACAAAGACACAAGAAAAAATAACACATAGTTAAGAGACAAAGGGATCAACATGATCATGTTCAGATTTTACACAGATTTTGGAACTTTTACATAAGAAATTTAAAATAACTATGAATATGCTGAAAGCTCAGATAGACAAGCTCAACAATGCATAAGGACAGGTGAAGCAGAAATTTTAAGACAGGATCTAATGAAAAAGATAGAAATGAAGATGAATCCCTTTAAGGTGGTAGATGGTAGACTCAAATCTAAGAAATCAGTGAACTTTTAATAGGTTAATTGAATCAGGAGATGTAGCACCAAACTTTAAATAGTAACATAAACATACCTAACTGCCTTTATAGTTTTTTAATATATCAATCATTAAAAAATATAAAATAAGATTATGTCTGGCACATAGCAGATACTCAGCAAATTTTACTTAATATATTATTGCTATTTGTTGTTGAATAATTTAAAAATTGAGTAAAGAGAAAACAGTAAATCACTTACTATAATCTATACTAAATCGAGCTATTCCAGATCCAGGATAATAGGAACCCTTCTCCACATTGACAAGACAATGCTTATTTTGTTTTTCTTGAATAATTTCCTTTGCTCCTAAAGCTCCTTGATTCATCAAATTCCAGCTTCGTATGCATCCATCCAGACGAGGGTTAATCTAACAGGTCGAGAAGTGAATTTTAAACTTACATACGTCAGACTGACAGCTGAATTGATTCTAGGTGTAGGTTTCAATTTGATTGAAAGTCTTTTGATAACATTTTAAAATACTTCAAATATTTTTATTTTAAGCTAAATTTTTCCTTTTGATGTGTCCTTCAGGTGGAAAGTCTCTTTCAGTAAAAGTGAGTTTATGCCACTGCAGTCCTCCAGTGGGATCCTAATATGGCTAACATCTCAAGTCTCACTTAACTCTTCTGTGTCTCATCCAGGACTAAGTTCATACTTCCAGAAAGGCCCTGGATTCTAAACTGCTTTCTGTTCTTCTTTATTTGTATTTACAACATAGGTGCATTTTGCTAAGCCAGATTTTAATCCTCTTCAAGAATAAAAAATGCTTGCATTCTTTAGCTTTCATCAAAAAATCCATCCACATTCAAGATATGTAGTAGCCACTTCAAAAACGATTGACTCGTTTGAATAATTTATTTTGCTTTTAAAATGCCTTGGGTTATCAATTTCAACGAATAAGTGTATTCATCGTGACATGAGCTGATTAATTAAATTCAGATTTAATATCACATTTCTATGGCTCATATCTAGACATTCTTCCAAACATAAGTGGGGTTTTGGAGAATAGATCATGGGTGATACTGACTTAGTTCACTGGTTTAGCACAGTTCTGGGTGTAGGTAGGGAATTTACTGAAGTGGGAAGACCCACTATGGGTGTGGATGACACCAAGCAAGAAGTTGTATCCTGGATGGAAAAAAAAGGGAGAGAAGGAGGAAGGCTCACTGCTTCCTGCCTGCTTTGCCGCGAGCTCTTTCTCCACAGCCACACTGCCCTGCCTTGGAGCCAGCTGAATATGAATTGAAAGGTCTACAATCTGGAAGTTAAAATAAACCTCTCTTCCTTTACATTGTGGGCGAAGGGTGTTTTGTCCCAGCAGTAGAAAGGAACTAAGACACACATCATAGAAATCCCTTAAAGTTAAAGTACCTATGAATTGCCATGAATAAAAGATGGATATAAAGTAGTAAATATTTAAATTAAATTAATTTGGAAAATAAAAATGTTAAAACACTTAAACAGTGATCATTTCCTTCATGAAACCTGCTCCACACTTATTTGACAAACATTCAGGAAATTATTATATTTAATTTCAATTTATGAGAGGCTAACTACACCTTCAGTTAAAAAAAAATCCACCTTCTGTGCAACCCTTAACTTCCAAAATCAAGTCTTGAAATAGATCTGAGAAAGACCCTTGATTGATTTCTACAAAAAAAAATTAGATTCCAATTTATACATTTAGTGGCTGAGTATGAGCCATTAGGATGCTACCAATGAACTGACACTTGGGAATTTAAAAGTCCACCTTTCCACAAGGAATGCTGGGGATTTACGTGGGCACAAAAAAAGGAACAGCAATAATTTTCTTATTTCCTTAATATAATTTCAAGGGTCACTAATGTCATTCTTCCATGTTTAATGCAAGTTGTCCTACTTGATATGTTTAACAAAATAACTTCTATTGACTCTCAGGAAAACACATCTTCAATCCTATCACAGACAAAAGGAATTCATCCATGATAAAGGATATAAGCTTGGATGGTTACCGGTATAATGAGTGCATCTTCCACTTTCCGAGGTAATCCTGCAAAGTAAATTTTGGTTTCCACAAATCCATTTGTTGATTTAAAAAGGCTTGCAGGTTTATTTATATTCATCACTGCTTCTTTAGCTATTTTAATACTAATACTATCTTCTAATTCTTCCACAGACACCTACAATTTAAAAGACACAAATTATCAAATAACCAACCATCACTACATGATGTTTGAAAGACTGCATTGAAAAATCCTATTATTCCAATAAATATTTTCTGAAATCATCATTTAGATATATAATCTAATTATTGGTTTGTTCCAACCCACTTAGGAAGTCAAATTGTAGTGTGATAAATATGTTTTAAGGTAATAGTATTTGATCAGAAATTAAATGCAAATCTAATATAAAATATTATCCATTTTAAATATTCAATAATATAATCAATCCTAGTATGCCATAAAATTTAGTTTGAAAAAGAAAGTGAGCCACCCTATGGAACATTTTTAAGTGTTCTTATTTTGTAATTGTTTGATAATGCACATATGGAATCAAACATGTAAATAAGTTCTTATAAATTAAGAGAAATCAGACTAGCTCAAAACTCTACTCAGTATTCTGTTCACAAATTATTTCTTTTGTTTCTTTGTTTTTTTTTTTTTTGGTACCAAGGATCGAACTCGGGACCTTGCACTTGTGAGGCAGGCAGTGGAATCACTGAGCTAAATCCCCGGCCCTCACAAATTATTTTTTCAAAATCCAGAAATGATTGAAATCTTAAGAAAGCACATATATAAAATTAAATGTTTTCCAATTTTGAACATAGTTCGGGTGTTTTAAAATGGTCATAAGTGATGGTAAACAACAATAAAAATCCTCCCATCCAGAAAGGCAATTTGAAGAACTATTGCAGCAGTTGTCTCATGTAAAACTGTAGATTCAGGACGTAAACTCTTCATTTACCAATCAATAACTGAATCAAACAATAGGCATATTAAAATACCACTACAGGAAAGGAAAACCTATCTTAAAAGTAAAACAAATTCAGTAACACAGATTTAAAGTTGTCCTTAATATGGCCAAATAGCAACATTTTTCTGGAATGCCTTCTCATTCTTCAGTTTTCTTTGAAGACATTCCTAACAGCCTCCAAGACCGGATGCCCACTTGTACATTCTTGCAATTCCTTTTTAGTCACTTTAGCTGTGTCCTCCTCTTCTCGACTTCTAGTTGGACCATGCAAGTATTTTTAATAAGAGGCCACAGGACTCATTCTAGAGCGTTCGGAAAATTTGGAGATGGGAAGCACCTTCAGCTGTCACAATTACTAGGGGACATGCAGCACAAGCTAGACTTGTTCAATATGCAGAGCACTTATGCAAAATAAGTAATAACATATCCAATATCCTGAAAACTGTCTGAACACCCCTAAAAGACACGTATGTGGGGAATACTCATGCTTCTTACTACCTGAACTTATGCATTTATAAACACAAAATATTTGTGGAACCAAATTAGTATTAATTAAAATTCTCAAGAATGTAATAATCTTGTAAACATTAGATCTTTATTATGAATTTCTCTCCATTTTGGAAAATTAATGATAGCAATACCATTTCTGCATTTAGTGTATTTGGTTCTAATATGACATCCCGGTATAAATCTTCGTGGTGGTTTTCACATTATTCTATGTATATAAATAAGCAAGCTTTGACAAGTATTTTAGTTGTAACTATTTACATATTAAAATACATGTCATCTTCTTATGAATTATCTTCCCTTTATTTGCTTCTATAATAGAGCTTTGCAACTCTTAGGTATATACATACCTAATACATTATTGATACATTTCATTATATACAAAATGAGTGTTCCTGTGTACAATCTGACATTAGATAAAAGTTTGGACATGTTGATCAACACAAATTTATGAACCTGAAAACCTTTTTTTTTTTAAAAAATGTTTTTGGTACCAGGGGTTACTGCTGTGGTCTCCTAACCGCATATCCTGTTCTATTCTTATTCTCTCTCTCTCTCTCTCTCTCTCTCTCTCTTTGGTACTGGGGATCAAACTCGGGTCCTTGAGTTTGCGAGGCAGGCAGCAGAACCACTGAGCTAAATCCCCGGCCCTACTCTTATTCTCTACTGACTAGTTTTCCCAAAGCCATCAGGTTCTGATCAGAATTATCTTTTAAAATGTAAATTAGGTTATGTCACATCTTAAAAGTATAAAATCCAAGTCTTCATCAAGGTCCCCAAAACTCAAGGTGATCTTATTCTAGATGACATTTCTGACTTCATTTTTGAAGTACTCTCCCCGGTCTCCCTACACTGCATCTATACTAATCTGTGTGCTGTTCCTCAAACAAACAAAATGCATCTCTCCCATGAGATTGTGTACTTGCTGTTCACATGGTGCAGAATCACTTTATAATCTTCCACGTATTTCTAATGACTTTTGCCCTTAAGTCTCTGCTCAGATCTCATCTCCCCAGAGATGCCTGTCCTGATTCCATAAGCATATTGACTGACTGACTCCATCCACTGAGTCCAAGCACACTCGATGCCACTCCATTCCTTGCCTCATGTTGCTTTTCCTTCTCATCTTTGCATTATTATCTGACGTATTCATTTATTTCTTACTTATCATTAGAATGCAAGTTTCATATGAGCAGTGATTTCACTATATGCACCATTCTATATTTACCTTCTCGAATAAATTTTAGCATATGAATTACTCAACAATTTTTTGTTGAAAAAAACATAAAACAATTACAAATTGTAATAAAATGTAAGTTTACTATTCTAAATATTATCCAAACATGAGATATCGTCACTTATAAAGTGTAATGTTTATTTTTCTGAGTTATGGCCATGCTAACTACTTAATTACAGATCCTATGTTACTTTTTAATGAATTACAAAACAGTTGCACATGTACATTTTAATTTATTATTTTTAGGGTATTTTTTGAAAATTTAAAGCATGTGAAATGAAACAAAGTTCTCAAATAAATATTCTGGTTGATAGAATAATTTAAATTACTTGTCAATTAAAATGCTTAGAATATTTATTTGTTTTCTTCTGGCTTCCAATATAGCTTTCTTTTTTTTTTTTTTTTTTGTACTGGGGATTGAACTTGGGTCCTTGCTTTTGCAAGGCAGGTGCTGGAACCACTGAGCTAAATCCCTGCCCTAGAATATTTGAAATAATTTTTAGACTAAGTAAATTAGTTTGAAACAGGAAAACCCATTAATGAACCATCAAAGTTATAAGCTAGTCAAATATAATGCAGTAATAGTATTTTTACAGTAAAAAACACAAAGTGAAAAAAGAAATCATCTTTATATTAATGGATGAGAGTCATAAATTGTTAAAATATTGAATTAAAGAGCTGGGTGTGGTAGCACACGTCTGTAATACCAACACTTGGGAGGCTGAGGCAGGAGGTTCGCTGTGAGTTCAAGACCAGCCTGGGCTATATAGTGAGTTCCAGGTCAGTCTCACTTACATAGTGAGACCCTGTCTCAAAACAACAACAACAACAAATATGAATTAAGAGCTTAAGAAAAATAGCCAACATGACAGCTGCTAGAACATTAAAGTTGTTGTCTGATTTGCTTGCTTGTATGTGAAATTGCCTTTACTTTTAAAAATTAAGATTGCATTCTACTTTTAGGGGGAGATATTAATTAAAATGAGTATACCATGATTTAGAAGTCTAACAAGGATCAGAAATAAAACATGGGACTTAACAGCTATCTTCCAATCAGGCTAGAATGTTGCCTTTAGGAACATCATTCAGGAGCAGGGATGAAGCTGGGGAAGGGGCATTTGCCTCACGTGTACAAGCAAGGACCTGGGTTTTATCCCCAGTGTAAAAAAACAAGCAAATAAACAAAACAACAAATACCATTTGGGGACAATTCTTCAGTAAACATTATCTGAAGCCCCAAATTTTAACCTGAGTAAAATACACTTTCTTCCTTCTACATGTTATATACCTAGAAATGTAATCAAATTCGCTTCAAAATAGCATTATATTTTCAATTTATTCTCGGGTAAAATTTTATTTTTGCTCTCTCTTGCTGAAAAATTGATGATATTAGTAGTAATTTGGAAATACTATGTGGTAAAATGTTTTTCATATATTTGAGAGATAGATGTACATATCACGCTGTAGATATAGATATAACAAAAAAGATATAGTAACAGAGCTATGTTAATAAGTGCTCCAGGAAGCCAATAATTTTAGAGATTTCTCAGAAAGTTACACCTGGTCCTGCGCAAAGACAAAGTTCTTCTAGAGTGAGGAGTCTAAAATCAACCACTGCTCAAGGACAAAGAGATCCCAGAGGTGAATTTTACCTGAAGCAACTAAGTTTTGCTCATACTTCCACTGCAACACCTTTGATGTCACACTATTTTGATTCATAAACAGTGTCAGCTACTAAACTACAAGATATAAAGCTCAAGAGCAAGGAAACTATCTTGTTATAGTTCTAGTGCCTTGAAGTCCAAAACTCAGCAATTTAAAAGCATTCAATTGCAATTTACTGAATAAATGAGCGCTTGAGTGGGTAAACAAAGCAATGATAACTGAGGATGAACTCACTTGCCTCTCAGTACAACCTCTTGCCTTCCTGCTCCTGTAGATGTAGAAAGCATTTCTCTTGGACACTGCATTCCAAAGAGAAGTGGTTCTTTCCTCAGCTATACTTTGCTGCAAGTAGCAATAACTACTGTGGAAAAGACTTTCTACTATCATTGCGCAGCAATCTTTTCTATAGGAAATGTCCCATTTGATTCCAGTTGATTTTAAAAGATGATTTCAATTTTTAAAATAAAGCTATTTTTAGGGCATATTAAAATGTTAGTTTTAAGCACTCTGGTACCCACTCATGTATCCTGTTTATACAAAATTGACTGCTCATTTATATGCATATATTTTAAATCTAATTAACTTTTTTTTCCCCCGGTACCGGAGATGCAACTTGGGTCCTTGTCCTTATGAGGAAGTCAGAAGAACCACTGAGCTAAATCTCCAGCCCTCAAATTAACTTTTGATTTTGTTACTATGTGTATTCCTCATTAATTTTTAAAACATCCATGGCAAGTGACGGTAGCTTTCCTTGATCACAAATATCATTTTTTTTGAACCAGAGATTGAACTCAGGTCTTTGTGCTTGCAAGGTAGGCCACTGAACCGCTGAGGTAAATCCCCGGCCCCACAGATATCTTTTAAATAAACTGTTATGCCTGCTAGTGATCTGCAGCCTACAGGAGACACCATTCATTCTTTACCCAATGACAGCCACAAATAAATAAGTGAAAGTGATCTAAGTTACTGAACTCCTAAGTATATTAAGTGAAGAGTAAAATTTCTCAGGCTATTTCAGGGATTTACAGTGTGGAAAGTAGACGATATAACATTAGATAATTCAACCCTTTTTGTTTTCTATGATTACAGCAATAAAATTAAATTTTATACAAACTGCATCAACGTGTAAAGAGCCTTAGGAAATCTTTAAAACATACCATATTCCATGCACCATTATTAATAACAGCACCTCCAGTTGTGATTTGAGTTGTAAATTCATTCTTAAGCTGAATTTCAAGCTTTCCCTCACGCAGAGCAATCAGAAGCCACGCTGAGTGGTCAAGAGATTCTGCACACAGTATAACACCTTCTGAATCATATGTCCGGAAATCAAACTTAGCTGAAAATCTGAACATGGACAAAGAGATGTCCTTAATAGAAGAAATATGCAAGCCTCAATATATTATACTTTTATATTTTACTAGAAAACAGTATTATATTGAAAAGGGTCAAGTTTATTTTGTTGCTTGGAATTAATAAAAATGAAAGAGTTGAATTAAATTGTTCATATATTATCTTTTGGTCTCCACATGTTTAAAATCCAGTTGGTTATTTTTTTGGAATCTTTATTTCAATAAACAGATGTTTTGGTGATTTTTCATCTTTTTGGCATATTTTGAAGGAATCTCTCAAATGCTGGAATTAATACACATGTGTAAATATGAGACATACTGTATCTCTCCTGGGACCTTTTACATACCATAAAATCTGGTATTAAAATGTGGGGGGATGCTATATTCACAAGTGATTAGTAAAAGATGTTACATGATTGATTTATCTATCAAAAGTCATATTTTCCCTATGACTTCACACAGGCAGGAAGGGATCACTCAAAAGCTCTATAGGACAGCATCTAGATGACTGCACACATCATTAAGCCTTCATGTGTGCTAAAGATAATAAAATAAAAAACGTCAAGCAGCAGCTACTGAAGAGCAGCAGCTATGGCTCTCTACTACCCCATGGCCATGGGCCTCAATGAGGGCCATGAAGTAACCAAGGACATGAGCCAGCAAGGCACAGCCACAGATGTTTCACTGAGCACACACAGCTCCTGTGGGGACCATCCGAGAGCTGTAAATTCATCAAGAACTTTCCTGCCAAAATGAAGTCAGAGCAGCTGAGCCATGCTGCCTGGCTGCTGTCTTGGCCACCAAGAGGAAGGTGGCTGCCCAGACAGCTTGAACCCTTCTCCCCTCAACGAGTAATAAAACCTTTCTTAGAAAAAGAAAACAAAGCAAAACTAACCACTTTAAAATGTATCCATTAATATATTTCAAATGTTCTTCAAAAACTCTAATTTCCTAAATCCTTCAGGAGAATACACAGAAAGAAAGCTTAACAAATATTGTTTATCCAAGTGTCGAGGGCAGAGATACTCGAGTTCTGACAATTCCTGTTGTTATTAAGACTCCAGAAATATACACAGTATAGATAATTATATAGACAAATGTATATATATATATATATAGACAAATTAGACAAATTAATAGATACAGATAATTAATAGATATAGAGAAACTGATAGATAAATATAGACAATACAGAAAAAAATCTTAAGTGATACTGGATTTAAAATGAGTTGGCTGAATGGCCTTAGAACATCTAGGTGCGAATCAGCATTAAAATCTCCAAGAGACCAGCTAATCAAAATGATTTTAAAAAGACAAATGGAAAAAGAAAAATAGTTGCATAAATTATAGTGAACTAATAAAATAAAGATAATTTAATTTAAAAAGTAAGGACTTTTGATAATTCTTAGGAGCAATTCCACATTATCATCCCTTCATATAGCAGCAATGATAATAGGCACTTCATTTGCAATGGGGACAAGATCTTGCTCGAAGGGAACAAAGAAAATGTGGAATAAGCTTTGCATCTTTAGAATTCCAAATAAATATATGAAAGCAGTACAATGTGCAGTAAAGTATGTTGGATGGATATCAAAGTAGTAAGAAATTATAGACTTCAGTTCATATTTTAAAAGAATCATTTTGCCTAGAATGTGGACTTCCATCCCTTTTCATTATTATCTGAGCATTTTGCTAATGTGAAGCATGGATTATCTTGCCAAAATCCATATCTGTGCACTTCAGGATCTTCCAGAAGTTGATCCTATTATGAAGAAAATTTCCTTTCTTTGTAAAAGCATGCTAAAATTACATTTCAAAGTCTTGTGTTCCGTATATTTTATTTCTGGAATATATCATCAGCATAATGATTCTTCACTCCATTTCAGCACTATTATGGAATGGAAAAAAAGTGAATTTGTTAACATTTGGGTAAGTACAGTATTTTGACTATGGGAAACAGAAGTGAAAGAATTCACTTGAGTAAAGCACTAGCTATTTTCGTGTTGGTTATACAGATGGCAATTTATAAAATTCATCGAAGTATATATTTACATGTGTACACTGCTCAATAAATTACAGTTCCCAGAAGTCAAGCTATATAAATCATAAATAAACCAATGACTATTACAGAAATAATTACTTGGGCTACTTCTGATCCAATCTTAAGTATCAAAATACATATTGTGAATTGCCTGTAAGAAATACTCCTAAAATTATCTGAAGGTACACTATAATTAACATTTTCCCTCATTTTCATGATTCTCATAGGAAGGAAGTGCTGTATGCAGTCAACCTCTTCAAAATATTATTTGCTATGAGAATTCATGGAGAAAACCAGATATTAGAGGAAATGGAGAGTTGGAGGAGAAAAATTGCATTAGTGAATCTTAGAGTATCTTCTAGTACTGTAAAAAAAAAGATTTGTATTGTTAGTTGGATTATTTAATGAATAACAGTTCATGTATCTAACAAATTAAGTACAAAACATTCATATTTAATTAGTCAGGATATCAAGTTTTAGCCTCCATAACCAGCTTCACATGTATTTCCTTCCTGTAATTCCAATAAGTTTCCAATTCTTTTTTTCAAGATTTAACAATGTACTACTGAGAAAATTTGAAAATAAGTACAATCATAACTCAAAATGCTATTCCTTTCTTAAAGTCAGTCTGACTGCAAGGATAACAGCTATTCAGATAGTAAGCTAAAATTATGGAATCATTTCATAAAAATGCCATTAGAGCAATCTCTTAATAATTTTGAATATACTGATATTCTTAAAATAATACTTAAGAGTATTTTCTCATTATTTATTTTGCATAGTATGTGTAAAGAGCCATGAAACTTTTACCAGTACAATAAATATATTTGCCTAGCTCCTTAATAAATATATTATCACTAGACAATGAAGAATGAAGGGGTAAAGTAAAATGATCACTGGAGAATGACCTAGAGTGACCCAGAAATATTCTAGCATGAATATTAAATATGTGAAGGACCAAATAATTTTTGAGGTTCCCTAAGTCATGATTAATAATATATCTAGATTATCTGGCTGATAACATAATTCCTTACATTCCAACCTTTTCAGTCATTGTAGTTTTGTCCTTATTTGCTTATCTTCTAGAGATTATCATTGTTATTCATTTCTTACCTGTTACTTTCTGGTAAATTAAATTTTAAATATAAAACAACTCCTGCAAACTGTTCTGCCAAGTAAAGTAGTTCATAATTTTTGTCAAGGTTCAAGGGAAGACACACTGGAATAGCCTGTGAAAAAAGAAAAAAAAAGTATATGTTATTGTTAGCTGTTTGTGTCAGGATGTGTATCTCTCCCTGGTTCTAATTATGTCCTCTTTAATACACTGAAATAAATTAAGAATATTTTTGGTAAGAAGAAAGCAATATATTTCACTCTCTTGTGAAGTTCAGGAATATAACCTCCAAGAGTACATGTGTTATTCAATTTGTATGGCTTTTGAATTTTGGATATAATATTTCCTTTGCAAATCTCAATGTTAAACAATTTTTTCTTCATGAATCAATATGTATGTCTTATAATATCAGACATGATGCCTCCCATAAACTAAATCTGAAATTATTTTTATCTGGAGTTGGAAATAGATGTAAGCATTAATGTACCAATAAATAGTCCTTCATGATACTCCTTCATTTAACACAAAAACATTTTGAGCACAAATGTCCTATCTAGACTGAAAAGGAAATACTAAAAAATCTGGAAGGAATAAACAGAAGTTCAGATAACATTTTCATCTCAAAAGCGTCTAAAAGAAAGTTATTTAAAGCCACCATACCTCTTATAAAGTACTTGTTTCCTAAAACTGAAAAAAAATATTAAAGTGAATAGTTTCTAGGAATAAGTTCTCGAGCATATGTAAGGATATTTTGAGAGTACTTGTGTACATAGCTATGTATTAAAGATAGGCTCAAATAAAATTTCATTTCAACTACGGCAAATATTGAAATGATAAAGGATCACACAGCAAAAAAAAAAAAAATTCACACAGCATGACATTTTAAATAAGTAGTACCAAGTTAGTATACATAGCAATTGCTTTAAATTTATCTCTCTTCACCACCAAGCTAGCGTGATACTGAATATCACATGTTTCTGGACATAGAAAACTTTGTCTTGGTGACATATCAAAAGGTATATGTATGCACTGTTTTAAAACATTATTTAGGAATTTTTTAAAATAATCTGTCTCACGGATGTCTCTGGACCACTCTGTGTGTAATGGAAATCTTTACTACCCTGCCATCTTCTCACACATCCTCTTACTCTGCTGTTGTTATGTAAAGCTCCTATTGTTCACCTCAGTCCAACACTATGTCCATTTTTTACTTCATGTCTGCCTCTTTCACTAGAATAATAGATTCTTTAGAGCAGGGCCTTTGTTTTGTTCACTAGTGGGTCCCTGGCACATAATGAGTATTTGTTGAGTGAGTGAATAAAGCTTTGGGTAATGTCCAAAAAATAAAAATAAAATAAATAAAATAAAATAATCTGTCACAATCATGTATAATTTCACCTTCACATACTAAAAAAAATCATTATAGATACTTATTTAAAAATAGTTTCAGATGTTGAACTATTTATTTCAAAGAGGTAAATGCTAAAACCTACCACAAAATTCAACTGAATTCCTAGAGAAATTGTGCATTATATCTGAATACTAAAAACAAGTTTAAGAGACACAGATTAACAAAATTGATCTCTGGATTTTGATGTATGTAGCACCCACTAAGCCCTACTCTATCAAAGTTGTTCACACCTAAAAGTTTATAAGTGCTCTTACAACTATTAGCAAGCCTGGGGTGTGATCAGACTTGTCAAAGTGGGATACAGGAAAGTTGACACTGGAAAATGCTGTCACTAAACTTACCATGTAAGATTGTTTTTTCACAAAGAGAATTAACCTCAGCTTTTCTTGGTTTCTTAAGTAAGCATACACATTGTATTCTGTAAATGTACAAGCTATAGACAAGTGCTTTCTAAATTGTTATCCTGTAACCCCCTCGTTTTAGCCTAGATAGTAATGATTCCCAGTTTTTATGATGTATGGGATCTACATTTTGACATACAGTCTGTATGTAGTGCTATAGCAATTAATATATAATATATGTATTTTTTAAAAATTTATGTAATCTATGTAGAAATAAGTGCATGGATCTACCATTTCAGAAAAGAGATAAGAAGTTTAGCATTGTAAAATGTTTACCTCACAGCTCTTCTGATCTTGGGCAAGTTTGAATCCTTTCTTCCCATCACAATAACAAGAATAGCCCCCAGGATAATTGACACAAAGTTGAGCACACATATTCTCAGAGCATTCATCTATATCTGGGATAATAAAGAACATAAAGCTTACTATCTCCTAAATAAATATTCAATCCAACAGGCAACAGAGTATTATCTTTTATTAATAAGATAATGAAAATAAATCCATAGGGAAGATAATTATATGACATCAAGTCATATTTAAACACATGAAATTGGAAATGAGTTACAAATGTACCTTTTACTTATACATTTGAATCAAATTTATAATGTAATTAATGTTAGTAAAACAATTCTTTTACATTTTTATTTTTAATTTGAAGAAAAAAATGATTGAGTATGGCAACTTAAATGTTATTTCTGGTTATATGAATTTTCTTGAGACTACTTCCCCATTCTTGGCTTTAAAGAAAAAGAGGAGAGGGAGGGAGAAAGGAGGGGGCAAGGGGAGAAGGAGGGAGGGGGAAAGAAAAAGGAAGAGGAGAAGAAAAAATAGAGAATGAAGGGAAAGGAAAGGAAAAACAGAAAAAGGAAGGAAAGAAAAAAAGACTCCTAACTAACTGAAAATGCATTGGGGGCTTAAATCACAATATCAAAAACATCTGACTTCGCACTGTAATAATTAATGGTGGCAATAAACTTAAGGACATAGTTAATCTCTTCTTATCCATGTTTTATTTAAATCTCAGTGCAATATTACCTCCCATATTGTGAAATTATCCCTTTTCTACATTTTAAGAAAATCAAACTGGAAAATTTTGCTTAAGTTTAAATCCATTTCAGGGCTGCATAAAATTCTTAACATTTTCATTGGATCCACCCTTGTGATCTTTGAAAATCCCCAAATGTATTACCTCATATAAGTTTTCATTAAAGGCTTTAAAATTAATCCCCAAAGTTAGTGATCCCTCAAATGCATTGAAATTGCAGGACGCATGATTAAATTTAGATGTATATAGTCATATGTAAGTAATTTTTCAAAATCTGTCACTCACGGAGTAAAACTGCAATGTAAGTTGTGAAGTTTTAAAACACTTAAAGGGAAGCATGAAATAATTTGTATATTAAAAAAATAATAAATGATCTAACACATTAGAGCTACCTGAGGCCTCCATGGCAACACCAATGCAGCTCATGGTGAGAGCAGCACCTCCAAGATTGATTACTGATCAAAACCTCTCAACCTTCTAGAGCTTGGGGCCGGGGATTTAGCTCAGCTGTTGGGTGGCCTGCCTCGCAAGCGCAAGGACCCAAGTTCAATCCCCGGTACCAAAAAAAAAAAAAAAATGAAACCTTCTAGAGCTTGGCTATGATTTGCTTATGATAGCCATACTTATTTAAGCTCCTGTCTTTGTTTTGCATGTATGTGTTTTGCTTTCAGAATAAAATTTTCATTGTCTCTGAATGTTACTTTAGTGATATGAAAATGTGTTTATCTTGCTTTAATTACACGTACAGCTTTCCAAATTATGTGAAACAAAAAAGCCTAATGAGTGCACTAACACTAAATGTAAATACCATTTGTTTTAAATACTTTTACTGTGAAAGGTAGCCACTGATTACCAAATTGATCAAGGTATATCAAAGATTAGAAAATACGACTGTTGGTGTCAAACAAAACCAATGCTGCTAAATAATTAAGTGTTCAAACACCACCCTCTCTAGTATCAGCAGTTGCACTAGTACCACTATACCTGTACAAGCCTCCTCTTTGGGGTTGTATCTGTAGCCTTCAGGGCATTCACAGTCATATTCTCCTGGGGTGTTCTTGCACACAGCTTTGCCACAGACATTGGGCTTCCTAGAACATTCATCCACATCTATAAATGAAATCAATGTAGTTTTAAAATTTTTCTAGTACCAGCAGATTCTAGTAAACAACACTATTCCTATTTCATGGACTATACTCATTATATATGAGATATAAAACTAGCTTTAGAACAACAAAATACTAAATCTAACATATTTTAGTTCACTATATATTATTTCTCTATATAAATACATAGAAAACTTAATTGATGTTCACCATGTCCCTTTATCAACATAACAAAAGAAGGCTCTAGTAATTTTCTCAATTATCAGGTCAGAGTATGAAAACAAATTAAAGAAGACATTAAACTACATTCTTTTGGGCCGGGAATTTAGCTCAGAGGTTTGGTGGCCTGCCTTGCAAGCGCAAGGACCTGAGTTCAATCACCAGTACCAAAAAAAAAAAAAAATTACATTTTTTTTTTTGTACTGGGGATCAAACTTGTTTCCTTACTCTTGTGAGGCAGGTGGGGGAACCACTGAGCCAACCCCCCAGGCCCTCAACTACATTCTTAATATTCTCTAAGTGTAGTTCCAAACACGTTTCTGAAGTACGGTCTTAAAGTACGGTCTTCTTATTACCACACACAAAAAATGAGAAGGCTCATCCACTTTACCCTGTTTCTTTGGAAACAGGCTATTACACCTGCCCTTCCATCAACACTTGAGGTGAAATCTCTAATGTATTCATTATTAGTGTTGCCTAAAGTATTGAAGAGTAGTAATTCACATTTAAAATGAGATTAAGTAAGGTCACAAAGTATTTATATAGCTGAAGTTATTCCAACATAAATTTTAGTCATGTATTCATATTCCAAAACACTGAGATGCATTTATTACATTACATAAAGGAGGAGACAAAGTACTGATTACAGTCAGCTACTAGATAAGCACTTATAAGGGAAAAAACAAGTGATAGAAATAGTTCAAGGAAAATATAATTAGTAATGAACATTTCTCATCTGTACTCAGATGTGAAAGACAAATTCAGAATAGAAAATATATCTTCTACTCTAAAACAACTGGCAGGGTTTTTTCCCCACAGATGAATAGCCAAAAATTCAGACATTATTCTGTTTTAAATAATTTGTATAAAACTAATGGAACCAACTCTTTATGATGAGGGAATTTTTCAGTAACTTGACTGTAACAATGTCAACATTGTGAGTGTGGTATCATACAATAAATTCATTAAATGTTACCAATGAGGGAAACCAGGTAAAGGTTACCTGTGAATTTGCTTTATTGCTTCTTACAACTTAAAGTGACTAATAAACTCAAAGAAAAATTTCAATTTTTAAAACATAATTATAAAATCTGTTTTTCCGCTTTGAGGAATATTGCAGAGAAATACATAGATCATATAAATTTAGCTTACAATAAATTGATTTTATGGCTCTACAATGACATCTAATGTTTGATGAAAATTTTTATTCTTTTGACAGGTACTGGCAACTTGATCCCTTGCATATCCACAACTTGGCAAATGTCCTATTGCAATAATTTTAAACATATTTTTCTAAAAGTTCTGTACTTTGTTATTCAAGTATTATGCTTAAAGGACTATGTAATGAAGAATATAAGAACAATATGTTCTGGTCACCAGGGACCTTCTTATTTTAAGAGGATTTTTCATAATTATATATCTGTGTATTACAAGGAAAAAAGATTAAACATTTTTAAATTTAAAAACAATTTTTCAGAAGGACAGACAGTACAAGTTATTTAAATGTAGAAATCAGAATGGGTATTATCTATCCATGTAATGCATATGGTATTAATAATAATAATGATTTTATATATCTGGTATTCAAATGATCCAATTATTCTAAATAACCAAATTTGGATCTTCAGATAGCCAGATAAGAAAGATGTATGCTCACTAAAAGGATAATGGTTTAGAAAAAAAGTTAGTGAATGAAGTTCACTTCAGAGTAATTAACTGTACTTTAGAATTATAGTACACAATAAAATACTGAACAAAATGATGCAGTGAAGAACAGCTCACTCCTTGAAGTTAGTGATCAACCAAAATAGATATAAAGGATTGATCAAAGACTTTACATTTCATTTTACTCAATTTTTCACCTCTTAGCAAAATAGAGGAGGGGTGAGAAGATAAGATGCACAGGAAGAAAAGAGAAGGAAAAGCACTTGAAGTGATTCCAGTTTCTAAATGAAAAATTTAACTACAGGTTGGAAAATTTTGTGTTTAGTTATCTAAAGACCTAGCGTGAATATTTGAAGATGTGTTACAGCAATTAAAATAGCCAAACAGAAGAGACAGTAGACAAAGAGAAAAAAAATCAAAATCTGGGGTCGGGGAAAGAGAAAACCAAAAGAAATATGCTAATAAAATCACTTGGTAAAATGATAAACTGACAGGGATTATGTAAATCTGAAGAAAAAAAGGGATCATAAAAATGAGAATCAAGACTTGCCATGTAAAGGTACATGATCCCAACAATGAATGTAACTGTACTGTATCCCTAAAATGTACCAATAAACTCAATAAAATTAAAAAAAAAAAGGGATCATGACCAATAATGTCATTATAAGTGTACAAAGAGAAGGAAAACCAGATCTTCATCTTTCCAAAAACCACAGTACAAAATGAAGTACAAATAGAGGGCTCACACTGGAAATCAAAAAGATAATTCTGAAAAGGGAAAAATGTTATTGAGAATTGTGGTGAATTTCTTTATGGAGATCTTCATATTATTAGAAGAAAATAATAGTAAGTAATATCTGAAAACAAAGCATAAACATTGTTTTTTGCAAAATCTGCAGCTTGCAAAGATGTGCGCTGAAACTTCACTTTATAATGAAATTCTGTATTTATATTTATCTACAACAAAATGCTTTAATGAAACATTCACAAGTACCACCTCCCACACACATAATAGGCAAACCATAAAACACTATTTGTCAGTATTGTAAACCAAAAGGCAGCTCCCTGTAAGGCTTCAGAGTGGATAAAAATGTATGTTATAAACACGTTAGAATAGAGTGTTCCAGGAATTCCTGGAGAAATTCCTCTAACTGAATTTGTTTCTCAGCCAATAATTACATTTTTGTTCTAATTTTTTTTATCCTACTCTATTTCTTACTCTTACCTCTGCAGTCTTTTTTATTTGAAAGCAAATCAAAGCCACTTCTACAGGAACACTGGTAACTTCCAGGTGTATTATCACAAATCTGGCTGCAACCTCCATTTACATTTAAGGGATCTTTGCATTCATTTATATCTAAAAAAAAAAAAGAAAGAAAATACATTATTTTAAAAATAATGTGAGCCTCAGAGAACTTTTTCTTTGGCCAATCACATGAGTCAGGTGGGTTGGTTTTACATACCAAATTCACACATTCTTCCTTCCCAGCCTGGTTTACAAATGCAAGTGAATGCAGCTTGGCCATCTTTGCAGCTCATATACCCATCTTTGTTGCATGGTAGAGGATTACACTGGTCTGAAATGGCTAAAGGAAATAGACATCTATTGAATTTTTACTTCATGCTTTGGTAAAATAGTATTATTTGTCCTTTAATAAAAACTTTTTATATAAAGCCTGTAACCAATGAAAAAACATATCTTCTTCCTTCAAATTCTTTTTTCACTAAATATGAATCTATTAACAAATGTTTATAATTATTTTATAAAGGGACACCATTTTTACATTTTAAGTATACAAAATACTTTTTATTCTACTGTAGAATTTTTTGAAATGCTATTATGTTGTTTGAAATTTAAAACAATTCCACAAGAATCATGAAACAAAAGATTTAAAAAAATCACTTGGGACTTGCAACTTGGATTATGATGGAGTAAATAGAATCAGATTTACCCTCTTGCGGTAAGTGGAATTCTGGCAAAAATATGTGAAAATAATGGTTTTCAAGCATTGGAGAAAACTGTGATGCCTAAGGGAAAGGAATAAACATTACGGGCCTTACAGTTGTACTGTGGCACTGCCTGGAGATCGTTGCAGTGCAAGAGTGCACAACTCAGATAGAGGCCGAAGCTCTCCTCAGGTTACAAAGACAGACACTACAGTTTGACAAGGTCAAATTAGAATTTTGCTAGACAGAAGAATTTGCTAGTCACTTGCTAGTGAAGGCAGGCGGGGATTGTGTAGAGGGGGAGATAGAAAGATACTGGCTGCGGAGATCTAAGGTTTATGGTTGAATAATGATTTGCACAGGACAGTTTCAAAAGTTCACACTGGACTATGACTGGTTCATTGTAAACTGGCCAGGCTGGCAATATTTGTGATACGGAAGACATCAGATAGAAACCTCACAAGATTATAGTCCTCCTATTGGAGATTAATCAGTTTTAAATTAATGATGCTCTACACTACCCTAATTCACTTTAGAATGAAACTACAAAAATTTATTTATACTTTTCCAAGTTATTTGGCTAAGCACCAGACCAAAGTCTCTGGAAGAAGACAACAAAATCCAGGATGTAACAAATGAAGTCTGATTCTTTCCCTTATATTCGGAAATACAGTGTCTGTCCTCCACCGTCTAAAATCTGTTGCTCTACATAGTTGATCATTTTTTTAAGGCAGAAAAGTAAATGTCATCCCAGTTATTACAGTTCATTTCACATTAGAAGTGATACTTTTTTCTACTGATACTTTGATTATGTTATTTATTCTGTCCATTATACAATTAAAAATAACTAACACACAAATGTGAAGGAAAATATGATCCAGAAAAAAAGAAATCCACTGATGGAAAAATATCCAGAAATGAAAGAACTGATAAAATAAGTAGAAAAAAAAATTAATGTAGCTATTGTAAGTGTACTTTATATATTCTAGTAGAAAGTACAAGAATGGTAGTATCTATCTATCCATTATGTA